TATATATATATATGTAAAATATACACTTTCACATATATTTGGCGAGGCAGTTTTACAATGAAAAGGTCTCTATGTGAAATAATACTTATATGAATTCAAACTTTTAAGTGTCATAAAAATTGACCAGCCACATTAAAATAGGCATCAAAATCCTGAGAATTGGTGAAAGCAGAATAACGTATTTCTACTTATAGATCAGCATGATTATTTGCTTGTTTAGAAAAACATGTTAATATTCTGTGCTTCTATATTCCTAACTAACATGTAGAAGAGAGAGAAATTCTGACCTTTAAGTTTAACAGTTTAAAAATAACAAAGTCCTATGTGAATAACAAAATGGCTTGTTGAACATTCAAAAGTCTGCATGAAATTCACAATAAAAGCTCTCTTATTCTTTAGTGAGTCATCAGGAAATATCAAGAGAATAGAGGGAGTATAAAGGATTTAAAAAAGAAATGAAAATCTTCAATTTTGAAAAAGAATCTTCAATCCAACGGTAGCATTTTCTTGAGCTGAGTTTTTAGCAAAACCACCTAAGTACCTCTCGGTATGTATACCTCTAGGAAGAAATGCCAAATTCAGTCAATCCTAATGATGTAACCGGGACATACACTTGCCTTTATTCAACTCTTTTTTCATATTATCTTTATGATATGCAGTAAAAGAAAATGAGAAAATACACATTACATTGAAAGAGTTGTCCCTGGAAAATGTGGTTCATGGAAGTATTTCAACTATAAATTGCTTTCTGAAAGTAACTGGAATACCATCTATAAACTCTGGTTTTGAAGAGAATATATTTGTGGCTCTTTAAAACCTTCCTTTGTTGGCATGGGGGTGATACACCATTTCTCTTTTTTAAAAAAAATCAGGTCACAGTTTGTCTACAAAGGATTTCTAAAGAATAATTCTGTCATTTCAGATGCCTGCAATGGTTATACCCATCAGGCAGACAAGTATATCATCTGTCAAAACATAGTAGAGGGAAACGTATTCAAGCACTAAGGAACTTCAAAAGTTTGTGGTAGGCCAGCCAGTGTTGTGGTGGTTAAGGCCTCAAGGGTGAATGCATGGTTCCAGTCTAGGACAAGCAGCTCTCTTGAAAGGAGAAATAGAGGAGAAGGAGTTGTGGCATGGCCATCCCCCCATGGGGTTGTTTTCTCACCTTCCCTTTCTTCCTCTCTCCAGTGAGCCCAGTGGGGGGGAAAAAAATTGTGGAAAAAAAATTAAATCAAAGTGCAACTTTATTTTGGAGCAAAAAGTTTTTGAAATCCATGCATTTCTTTCATAATATACAATTTCAATAAACTTTTTGAAGACTCTCTCTTAACCATATTGGGTAGCTCTCAGTACTCAAAAACCATGTTGTCTGAAAACCTCCAGTATCAAATTGCAAATCTGATAGAAAATCTAAATGGTTATTAGCACTGATTTCTACCTTTAGGGGCCCATTTTCCATATGTATTAATTTATTCCTTCAGCTCTCTAAAATTATGAGAGAAAAATAAAATATCACAGGAATAAAAAGAAACAGGATCCTTAAATAGCAATCTGGTTGTAACCAAGACATAAATTCATACAACAATAAAATGAGAGAATGACTATATGCTGAAGCAGATGTATCCCTGGTAGAACTGAGGAAAGCTTTTCATATGCTGCATACACTTTGGAAGAACAAAACTATGTATTAAAGCTCAGTATTAAAAATTATCTAGAATTCAACCTAATCCCCGGATGCAAGCAAATATGAACCTTTAAATTCACACAGTAATACTTTTTCAAAATCTAAGCAATATTATCTATTTAGATTTTTTGTGTAATTTTTCAGTTCAAGTTCTTAGATAATTGTGCAGAACTGTAGGCAAACTTAGATTTAGTAGGGCAAATAATTATACTTCAAAAATGCAACTAAATTATTTATTAAATAGTATAAATTCAAAAGAACTGTTTTCTTGAATGTCTTCTTCATAACTAACTTCAAAAAGTATATAATTCTAGAGCTAAAAGAGAGCTTTAGAGGCTTTTGAAGATGGGGAACAAAAACTAATGTGAGAGAATACATATACAATAGAATAATGTTAAATTAGAAGTCTGTGATGTGTGATACAAAGGAACGCTTAGTCAGTAAGCTCTTACATTGATCTTCAGCTGAATTTCTACTCTCTCAACACATTAAATATTCTCCTAAATTTCTATAGTTTGCCAAATGCTTTATTTACATGGGATTAAATATAATACTTAAGCATTTCTCCCTCAAATGGAGTTTAACATCACAAACTAAGCTTAATTTCAATGGCTCAAATCAATGAGTTATACTTTTTTCATTAAGATTCTACAGGCCCTGAGGAGGTGCTCTACGTACTTACTCTGCTGGTATTCCAGGAGAAAGCCACCTCCTTGCTGACCTTCATCTGTCCTCAGTTTTAAAAATATGCTATCTCCACTGGACCGGATGAGAGATGGCTTCTCATCCCCACAAAGCTGAGCTAGCAGATGAGAGCTGGTACTTGGGCCATCATATACCTTTAATAAAACATTTCACATATTAGATGTTTGCAGCTATACATGCTAAAGGACTCTGTAGTACAGAAATAGGAAGAAATACATATATGATACAACAAAACATAGCCCTGAAATCCTGAAATAAAATATATTTGAAAATTATATCAATATGTCTGTAAACTCAGGTCATGATCTCAGATAAATATGTACATCTTTAAACATGTGAAATGAGGTTAATATCTGATGAGTGAACATGAAAGTCTAATAAATATTTCTGAGCCCATAGGTGATGCTAATTAATCTTTCTTTTTGAGTCCACAGCTAATACTTTATGATACTTTAATACATTTTTATTTATATTTTTTCAAAGACAATGGTGAATTGCTGCTACTATAAACAGTCAAAAGTGAAAGACCTAATCTTCCTGTCTAGTTTATCAAAATATTTCTCTAACTTATCATATTTCAATGAGTTTATAGAAAATACATAATGATTATGACAAATTTCTTAACCTCCTTGAGAAGATTTTAACCATATCTTGTGTGTGTGTCTCACTCTGTGTGTGTGTGTGTGTGTGTTTGTGCTTGTGTCTACGTGTGTACATGCTATGTGGTGTATTTTCAGACAGGACTGCACTATGTCATGGTCCTCCTGCTTTAGCCTCCCTAGTAGCTGTGTCTACAGTAGTGCACCAATGTCCCAGGTTTTTTGAGAGGAGAAGGTGAGAGGTGGGATAGAAACACAGTCAGAGCCTCTTACACGGCCTCAGCCTGCTGAGCAGCAGTGTCCAGAGCATATTACAGTGGATGGGCTTTAACTATATCTTAATAGTCCATATTCAATAGATTTTAAATATTTAGCGTATCAAGCCATTTGGCATATACTTAGAAGATTCATTCTTACCATGTTTAAGTTTGCTGACATTTTTTATGTTCTATTTAAATGCTCCCCTTTCCTGAAATCTTGAAAATAAAAATAAATGTATCGTGGATGTTGGGTGAGATAGAAACAGTGAGTGACATAACTGAAATATTATACATACAGCCAGATAATCCAAAGTGCAGTTTGGGTGATGCTCCAAGTGGAACTCTTCGAATTTCAGTTCAAATGGGCTGCCGTGGCTGGATTTCAACAACCAGTAGCACTCAGAGCTATGGTAGTAGGGCATTGGGTAGTTGGGAGATGTGAACGTGCCTTTGGGAGTGGTCAGATTGCCTCCACAACCTGTAGGTGAAAAGAATGGAATGAAGCAAGCTCTTTTATTTTTCATCAAATTAATCTTAATATCCTTGATGGCCAAGAAGAGTAATACACTGGATGCACATGCGCACAGGCCCAAAATCCCTAGAGGAGGGAAACATGGAGAAGGGATTGCAGCATGACCATCCCCACTACCCTGGGTAGGGGTTGCCTTCACAGGGATGCCTGGGTAGGGAATGCCTTTCTCTCTCTTTTTCTCTCTCTTTCTCTCCAGCAAGCACACATACCTTATAGAAATTTTTTTTAATTAATCTCTTCTGTAATAAACTGATGCTATTATAGTCTCCTTTAAATCAAGTTGCAAAGCAAACCTATGTGAAACAGTGAGTGACATAACTGAAATATTATACATACAGCCAGATAATCCAAAGTGCAGTTTGGGTGATGCTCCAAGTGGAACTCTTCGAATTTCAGTTCAAATGGGCTGCCGTGGCTGGATTTCAACAACCAGTAGCACTCAGAGCTATGGTAGTAGGGCATTGGGTAGTTGGGAGATGTGAACGTGCCTTTGGGAGTGGTCAGATTGCCTCCACAACCTGTAGGTGAAAAGAATGGAATGAAGCAAGCTCTTTTATTTTTCATCAAATTAATCTTAATATCCTTGATGGCCAAGAAGAGTAATACACTGGATGCACATGCGCACAGGCCCAAAATCCCTAGAGGAGGGAAACATGGAGAAGGGATTGCAGCATGACCATCCCCACTACCCTGGGTAGGGGTTGCCTTCACAGGGATGCCTGGGTAGGGAATGCCTTTCTCTCTCTTTTTCTCTCTCTTTCTCTCCAGCAAGCACACATACCTTATAGAAATTTTTTTTAATTAATCTCTTCTGTAATAAACTGATGCTATTATAGTCTCCTTTAAATCAAGTTGCAAAGCAAACCTATGTTACATAGGAAGAGCTAGCCTGTAATACCAATTCATATCTTCCTTTTTTCTAACCCATATGACCAGTTTAACAAAATCCACAGGGAACTAGAATTTCTTCCCTTTGTTCTTCAACAACAAGGCTGCCGTTAATTCAAAAACATTTGCAATATTGCATTTTACTGCAAAAAGTGATAACAAAACACAACTGGGACAAAAATGGACAAGTGATAATGGCCAGACTACAGTAATACAAAAATCAAGAAGCCAAGCACGTTTAATTATCCAATAAAAGACAAATCTTTGCTATTTACCTGTTGTTGATCCATCCCAATAAGCAGAGAATCCAGAACTTGAGATAATTAAGTCACTCTTAAATTTTATCCATAGTTTGTTACTATGAGAGATGATTCTGGGAGGCCTATTTGAGCCACAATATATTCCCAAGGATGGTGAAGTTTCATAGCCTCCATCTCTGTGACAGCATACAAAAAAGGAAACTTAACAGGTATTGATAATTTTACCATATAACCATTTATCATAATTGGAAGTCCAGGATTGCAAGCAGACTAGTTTATCGTATCAGTCAACTTCTTCTAAAATTATTCTAAAATATACAATTTCAAGTCTTTAATTTTTGCTTTACTAAATAGTATTTGAAAAACTTAATAAAGAATACCTATTATTGGGACCAGCAGAGAGCAAATGGTTATGTCACTGGACTCCCATATAGTTTGACTGCAGTTCAAGTGCTGGACCCAGCAACTTGAAACTCAAGGCAGGTGCATGTACACGTGTGCCCAGGATCCCCAGAGGAGAATGGAGAAGGGACTGCAGTATGGTCATGCTCTCCCAGGAGGTGATTTCTCGGTTTCTGTCTCTCTCTGTCTCTCTGGTAAGTGCACACGCTGTATAGCAAAAATTCCTCTCTAACAAACAAACAAACAAAAAAAGAATACCTACTATTTAAGGGTGGCATGGAATTTTTAATCAAGTACAAACTTACAAAATGTGTTTACTCTTTTCTCTCTCAATTATTACCTCTGAAAAATGAGTCAGTGTACACAGGATAAAGAAATGATAATTATTAAAAGTATAAACAATTGCTGCTTAATTATACAAAGAAATCTTAACTGTTTTCTTTCTAATTTGGAAATTTTCAAAATTTAACATATCAAATTTGACATATTTTACAAAATTGTGGAAGTAATTCTTTCTCTAAAAAAAGATCTTTTGAGATCTTAAACCCAGCTTAGAATCTATAGTTTTAAAGTTAAAGGAAAAAAAAAAGCTTTACTCAACATTAAAGTCTAGTGATTAAATTCTATAAATTTAGAAAATTATTGAATTTTAGCATGATATGGTACAATTATAATTTATTTTGGTACATTACTTTATATTATAAAATAAAATTTATTAAAAATATAATAAGGGCTATCCCTATAACCTAATGTTTAGGGAGTTAGATCCCACATGTCCAACTGTGGTTTGAATCCCAGTCCTAGTGGTTTGGGGAATTAGCCAGGCATCTGCATGCATGCTCAAAGTCCAAGTCCAAACAGCATAGAAAATGGAGGACAAGGATTCTGAGAATGACCACAACTGATTTGGGGGGCTTACTTCCTTCCAACACACACTTGCCTCTTTGTTCTGGTGAACATAGGTACCATCTAGCTATTTAAAAGAATATAAGATCCCAGACTTGAAATGTCAAGTAAGAAAATCTGACACAGATACACACCAAAATTATTAGCTTAATTCAACTTGATGTAAATGGTATGGGAAAATATCAATATATAAGTTAATTTATCTTTAGTAGAAATATAACTTTTTATTTTTCAGAGAGATTTTTGTCATAGGGTGCATGCACTCGCTGGAGAGACAGAGAGATGAAAGCGAGAAATCACTCCCTGGGGAGGTGGCCACACTGCAATCCCCTCTCCGCCATTCTCTTCTTAGGATCATGGGCATGCACACAGGTCTGGCATGACTTTTAAGCCTTTGGGTCCAGGACTTGAACCGTGGTTGACTATGTGGGAGTCCAGTGACGTAACCATTATGCCATCTGTTGGTCCCCTATTAATAATATAACTTTTTAAACACATTCATTCAAAGTGCCAAGTAATCAAAAAAAGTTTTATACTAATATTCACAAGCCTAGAATTTTCTCATTTGAACACAAAAAACTTTATAAAATTGCTACTTTGCCACATTTTTATGATATAATTAGTTTTAACGGGAAAACAGTCTATAATTTAATTTGATTTTACATAAAGAAAGAAGGTATTCGACATTAGAAACCATCTACTTTCAGAATAGTAGTACATCTGTTTTCTTTGCCTAATTAGAACCTGGAGTTTATTTTCAAATATTTCAAAAGTAATCATTTCAAAATAACCACTGAATCCTATCCAGTTTTCCGCTTTTAAGTTAAGATTCAAATGACAAATTTTATCTCTTTCAAGAAAATACACAGCAGAGAGCTATACAGGGAATTTTCGTATTTTTCCCTTAATCTTTCTAGAAAAGATTATTAATAAAAATAAACAATGAAAAAGATTATAATGAAATAAAGTCATTTACTTGATTTCCACAAAATCTGCTATACACTTTTCACTAATGGCTTCCTCTAAGGAGAAGTCTGTGAAGTGCAATGCAATCTGTTGGGTGGTTTCCACTGTGATCCTATAAATGCACTCGTAGTTGTTGGGATAATTTCTGGGGAAACCTGGGGATGTAAATGTCCCATATTCATCTGTATAGTCTTCCAAGCATGCTGTGAAAAGTAACAGACATCAAGAGAGAATAAATAATATTATGCTACATTTGTAATACATTAAGTAATTTACACTTCATTAATCTGTGCCAATGTACTTACTATCAGTAGGCCATTCTGGAATGTTGAAAGATGATTTTATGTTGAAAAAGGTTTTGAAATATCAGAAGTAAAACAATTTTTTTTGAGGTTTTAGCTATAAGGCGCGTGCACTCGCCAGAAAGACAGAGACAGAGAGAGAGAAAGTGAGAAATCACCCCCCCAGGGGGGATGGCCACGCCACAATCTCTTCTCCTCCATTCTCCTTTCAGGATCTTGGACACGCACGCACATGCGCCCTGAGTGAGTTTAAGCCACCGGGTCCAGGACTTAAACCGCGGTCAACTACATGGGAGTTCAGTGACATAGCCATTACGCTAACTGCTGGTCCCAGAAGTAAAACAATTATTAACAATAAACCTAAACTATTGGATCATCAGAAAATTCGTAACGTATTTTTGCATTGAAAAACAGGAAAAATACTTTTCTGATGACACAATATGTAGTAAAAATTGTTACATATACTTTGAGTGAACAACTTTTTATGATCTTGGAAGTGTTTTTATCTAATCCATGAAAATTACCATAAACATTTTAAAAATTGGGCTGAATAACAGTAATTAGAGGAGGCTTAGAAATAATTCAGTCCAACTCCTTAAATAGCTTTGTTTAAAATGTTTTTCACCATGGTATGTATTCATGAGAAATGACAGAGCTGGTACCTGAGCTAAGGGATGAAAAATTGGAGAACAGTCTC